ACCGGCAGCCATGCTGGGACTCTGGGTTGTGAATGCTCCCAGCACAAGCTGGGAGCGCCAGGGCCAGGCAGGTGGCATGCAGGTGTGTGTGTGCTGCTGGGGCTGAGGAGGGTATCAGAGCTTGGTTCAATACAAACAAGAGCTTGTGCAGTCATTTCAGTTGCCGGCACTGACACGGGCTGCCCGGGAAGCTTGTGAGGATAAGGGCAGCCTGGCCTGCCTTGATTCCTGCCAGTGTGGGAGTGGTTCATGACTGGGCCCTGCACTTCAGAAAGCTGGCTGGACAGCCTCTGGGCCAGGCCTGGGCACCAAGTCTTCTGGACACTGAGCACCAGGTCTCCTCTGAACCCTAGCTCAGGAAGCCTCAGTCTGGGAAGCAGGGACCCCGGGCAGCCAACTGAACAGGGCTGCAGAAAAAAATGTCAGCAGAGTGTGTGCCCTCATTGGACCAAGCTGCGGCGCCTGGCTGCCTGGCCTTCCTAGGGCTGCAGTGACACATTCACACGTGGTGTCTTCACACGACAGATAGTTCCTCACGGTTCTGGGCTGGAAGCCAAACTCAGGCCCTGGCAGGGCCACGCTTCCTCCGCAAGCTCTGGGGAGAATCCCTCCTTGACTCTTCTGGCTCTTGGTGGCTCCAGGCCTTCTCCGGCCCTCTCTGAACCACACCAGTTTCTACCTGTGTCACCGCTGGGCTGTCCTTCCTCTTCATGAGGCTCTGTGACCTCATCCCTCCCGTCAAGATGCCAGGGACTGGACATAGGGCCCACCTTTAGCCCTGCCTTGATGACATCTGCACACACCCTATTCCGAACAGGTCACACCCACAGGCAACAGGGTTAGCACCTGGCTGTGCCCTTTAGGGACACAGTTGGCACATAGCATTGGCTAGGCTCTATCCAAAGGGGAGTTAATTTGGGCAAGGATTGGAGATTCTGGGAGGAAAACCAGGAAGGCAGAGCTAAAACAAACAGACAAACGACAAAAAACAGCAACGAAGTAAAACGTAGTGGCTTCCTGAGCCCTCCCTCACCAGGAGCATCTGGAGAGTAATGTCATGCCTGCCGTCTGGCCCTCCCTGCAGCATTGACAGGAAGCTGGAACTGTCGTCCTCCAGCTCTGCTGTGGGGGTGGCATCTACTGTGTCCTGGCTCAGGACTCACTCTCCTGTGTTTCTCCTACTCTGTCCTTCCTAAGGCCAACCCTGCTTCAGTCTGGTGCCCCCACCGGGCCCCTGCTAAATGTCCTTCACCTCCTGCTTCCACAGCTCAATCCCAGCAATGGCTTCCGAGGCAGCGCAGTGAGATTCCAGGGCCGCCTTGCCCATACCTGTAGCTCTTGTCTCCAGCACACACTGCGCTGGGCCTCTGTGATCCAGATATGCATGAGACAGTGTGGCTCCATGTCCCTCATGTTGAACTGTAACCCCCAGCATTGGGGGAGAGACCAAGAGAAACATGATCAGATCATGGGGCCAGATTTCTACCTTGCTCTTCTCATGATAGTGAGTTTTCGTGAAAGCCGGCTGTTTAAAGGTGTGTAGTGCTTCCCCTTCTCTCTCTTTCTCTCTCTCTGACCCACGTGAAGACCTGCCTGCTTCCCTTTCACCTTCCATCATTTTTGTAAGTTTTTTTTTTTTTTTTTTGAGACGGAGTTTTGCTCTTGTTACCCAGGCTGGAGTGCAATGGCACGATCTCGGCTCACCGCAACCTCCGCCTCCTGGGTTCAGGCAATTCTCCTGCCTCAGCCTCCTGAGTAGCTAGGTTTACAAGCACGCGCCACCATGCCCAGCTAATTTTTTTTGTATTTTTAGTAGAGACGGAGTTTCACCATGTTGAGCAGGATGGTCTCGATCTCTTGACCTCGTGATCCACCCACCTCGGCCTCCCAAAGTGCTGGGATTACAGGCTTGAACCACCGTGCCCGACCCCACTTTTCTTTCTAAATTACTCAGTCTCAGGTATATCTTTATATACCTGAGTATATATAGCAGTGTGAGGACAAACCAATACGGGAAACCGGCACAAGGGAAGTGGGGCATTGCTATAAAGATACCGGAACGTGTGGAAGTGACTTTAGAAATGGGCAGAGGTTGGAACAGTTCAGAGGGCCCAGAAGGCAGGAAGCTGTGTGAAAGTTCGGGACTTCCTAGGGACGTGTTGAATTGTGACTGAAACACTGGCAATCATATGAACAGTGAAGTTCAGACCGACGTGTTCGCAGATGGAGATTAGGAAGTTACTGGGAACTGCAGTAAAGGTCACTCTTGCTCTGCTTTAGCAAAGAGCCTGGCAGCATTGTGACCCTGCTCCAGGGGTCTATGGAACCTTGAACTTGAGAGAGGTGACTTAGGTATCTGTTAAATGACATTTCTAAGCAGTGGAGCATTCAGGATTGGGCCTGGCTGCTTCTAACAAGGTGTGCTCATGTTTATGAGCAAAAAATATTACCTGAAACTAGAATTTATACATAAAAGGGAGCAGAACCTAAGTTTGAAAAATTTGCAGCTGGCCATGTGGTGGAGAAGAAAAATTCATTTTTGGAGGGGGGAATTCAAGCCAGATTCAGAAATTTGCATAAGTAAAAAGGAGCCAAATATTAATAGCCAAAATGACAGGAAAAAATACATCCAAGGCATTTCAGAGACCTTCACAGCAGCCTCCCCCATCATAGGAGGCCTCCCTGGAGGCCCAAAAGGGGAAAATGGTTTTGTGGGCCTGGCCAGGCCCAGAGCCCCACTGCTCTGTGCAGCTTGGCACATGACACCCTGCTTCCCAGCCACTACAGCTCCAACCATGATTGTCTCAACTCCCATGGCTCAGAAAGGACCCCAGATATGCCTCAGGCCACTGCTCCAGAGGGTGCAGCCATAGTAAACCCTAGTGGCTTCCAGATGGTGTTAAACCTGTGGGTATACAGAGGGTAGGAGTGAGGGCCCCCACCTGGATTTCAGAGAATGTATGGAAATGCCTGAATGTCTAGGCATAAGTCTACTTCGGGGGTGGAGCCTTCATAGAGAACTGTTACTAGAGCAGTGTGGAGTTCTCTACTAGGGGAATGTGGGGGGTCTCCACTGGGGCAGAGCCTAGTGCAACTCTGAGAAAAGGGCCACCATCCTCCAGCCCTTAGAATGCTAGATTCACCAACAGCTTGCCCTGCACCCCTGGAAAAGCTGCAGACACTTAATGCCAAACCTTGAGAGCAGCCGTGGGAGTTGAACCCTACAGAGACACAAGGGCAGAGCGTCCAAGGCTTTGGGAGCCCATCTCTTGTATCAAGGTGGCCTCAATGTGAGACACGTAGTCAAAGATTAGTTTTGAGCTTTAACATTTAGTGACTTCCATACTGGGTTTTGAAAATGTTTAGGGCCTGTAGCCCCTTCGTTTTGGCCAATTTCTCCCACTTGGAATGGGAGCATTTACCCAATACCTGTAGCTTGGAAGTAACTAACCTGTTTTTTATTTTACAGGCTCATAGGTGGAAGGGTCTTGCCTTGTTTCAGACTTTGGACTTGGACTTTTGAGCTAATGCTGGAGTGAATTAAGCCTTTGGAAGACTGTTGGGAAGGCATGATTGTGTTTTGAAAAATACGAAAAGGACGTGAGCTGTGGGAGGGTCTGGAGGTAGAATGATCTGGTTTGACTGTGCCCCACCCAAATCTCAGGTTGAATTACATTCCCCTTGGAATGCAATGGAGGTGATGGATCATGGGGGTAACATCCTCTTTGCTGTTCTTATCATAGTGAATGAGCTTTCATGAGATCTGGTTGTTTGAAAGTGTGAAGTACGTACCCTTTGACTCTCTGTCTCTGGCTACGTGAACATGCGCCTGCTTCCCCTTCACCTTCTGCCATGATTGTAAGTTTCCTGAGGCCTTCTCAGCCATGCTTCCGGCATAGCCTGTGAAACTGAGTTAATTAAACCTCTTTTCTTCAGACACTACCCAGCCTCGGGCAGCTCTTTGTAGTAGCATGAGTTTGGACTACGACCGTGCAAGATTGCTCATCTCTTGCCCATTCTATTTCACAGACACCAGATGCTGTTAACCTGACCTGCTTTATTTATTCCCACCACTTTTGTATTTTGGGTTTTGCTTTTTGTTCTGGTGCAAGCCTGTTTACTTGAAGACTGTTAATTCTAGCTATTTTGAAGGGACCAATCTCATAATGATTCTACGAGGTAGTCAGTAACATTATCCCTACTTTAGAAAATTTTGTTTAAAATCTCTGTCATTCCGCAGCCTACATAAGGAGTTAATCACTGCCCCCACTGCACAGATGAGGAAACTGATTTTGAACAACAGTGACTGGGAGATCAGATGACATTTCTGCAGCCTGGCTCTAGAGCCTGAGTCGTATTTCTCTCTCTTGCAGTGTTGATAAAAATCAGCTTCTCCAGGGGGTTTAGCAGATGGGATTTTTTAATGGACAGGTCACTAGACATTTCCAGAGGGGGAGAGGGGTGTCCTCAGGAATGTTTCAACCATGAGGGAACAGAGAATTTGCAAAGATGGGCAGAAGAGGAAGAGCATGAAGGAGGGCAGAGGCCGCCTGGGTACAGGTGTTTATTTTGACAATAGAGTAACTGTGAATACCCCAAATGAGCTTCCTGCCACATGACCGCAGTCACCTCTAAATGACACTCTAGGGCAAGGGCAATTATTATTTCCCTCTGAGATGAGCAGAGCAAGTCAGCAAATGGGAGCCATGCGCCAGCTGTGGGCATGTCTGCCTGAAGTCAGGTCTGTCTGTCCTCGGACTGCACTCACGGCTTTACCTTGGTGTGGGTCTGCCCTGCTGAGTGCAGGCGGGGGCTCCTCAGGCAGAAAACCAAAGAGGTCCTTAGTTCTCAACAGCACTTGTGGTGCCCACTGCCCACAGGAGGTGGGGCTGGCATGCACAGCCTGGGGCGCGGCAGCTGCGCGATCCTTTGTGAAGTGAACACACAGAACACGTGGGTACCTCTCAACAGAGATGCTGGTGGTGCTCCCTGGGCGTGGGTGCCAAGCATGTACAAGGAGCAGCAGCGGAGCTGTGGGGATGTGGAAGCTGCACCCAGGGCAGAGCTTGCCTCTGACACGCTCTGATAGCTCTGTCCAGTGTCTGCCTCTCTGAGCCCCGCCTCCTTCCTTGTCAGTGCGGTTGCTTTGAGGACCAAAAGACCGCTCTGAGGTGCAGCAATTGCTCGAGGGAAGCACCGTTGAGCTGGAGCCTGGGTGAGGAGTCGCCACAGGTAGCTCTGCAGCAACTGGGAAGGAAAGAGAGCTGGAGAGAAAAAAAAAAAAGACTACACCTGGCTCAGCTGTACCGAATCTGAAGGAATCCAGGTGAAGGGGTTCCACACACAGAGCCCAGTGACCGGGAAGTCAGGCCTGCATTAGAGGGTCCAAGCACTGCCCACTGGACTTGCCACAGGCATCCAAAGTGAATGAGCTCCCCAGTAGCACATGCAGAAACAAAGCAGAACAGTGCAAAGCTAAGGCCTGCGTCTGAACGGCGAGCACAAGCAGAGCAGACAGAGCCAAAAATTCAGGGAGGGGCCGGAGGCTGCTGCAGTCTGGGAGAAAGCTCCCAGCAATGTGGGGAAAAGCTGGACACAGCAGCTGAACCGCCCTGCTCAAGGTAGGATGCACGCCCTCAAAATGAACCTCTCCTTGCCAGTGACACCAAAGGCAGATTGTATGTCCCCTCCTGGCATTGCAAGCCTATGGAGCCTTCCTTTTCTTCAAAGCGTCTGCAGCCGGCGTAGGAGTGGCTTCCCACAAAGCGTTCCATGACAGTGAAGTGCTGGCGATTTCCCAAGGCGCCCAGGCCGCAGGCAGGCTGGCTGGCCCCGCCAGGGGAAGCGTTTGCAGTCCTGGTCGATGGACACAGAGAGCAAGAAGCCAGCCCTTCTGGATGGGTTCCTCCCAGGCATAGGCTGCTCGGCTTCGCATCCATTTTCTTGTAAACCTCAGGCTGAGCCCCTGAGAGGCTATAATCTGAAGGTTCAAAAATGCCAAATTCAATCCTTTGGGATGCAAAAGTGTAAGATAAACAGCTCTCTGTTCTGAATCGGAGCAGCCTGCCACCATCTTCACTGGGTGCCCTGGCAGTTAACCCAGCGACAGCCACGTGCGAGGGCTCCGTGCTGACTCCCTTGTGGCCACTCAGAGGCAGAAGTCAGGGTTCCTGCGCTGGCTGCCTCTCCGTGGGTCACTTTTATTCTTTCAAGGGGAGATAAGAGCCCCTCTACTCAACACACTGCTGTCTAAAAATAGGTACAGTGGTGAATGGGAATAGGTTTTGTAAATTTAAGCACTCCCAGTGAAGAAGGCGTTATGAACGCTGCACACTTGGGCCCTGACTCTGCCCGGGAACGAAATGGCTGCTGCATGTTGTGGGTCTTTCAAAGCTGGTCTCATCTCCATCAGCACGTCCTCGTGGTTTTACCATTTCATAGCCTGAAAATGTCGTGCATGTGCTGCTACAGTTCACCTATTTTTAAAGAATGCTTGCTCTTGTTCACCAAAACCTGAGTGCTGTTGCAATGAGGCTGTTTTGAGCCGAGGCCGAGCTATAAAGACAGGATTGGAGCACTGGGGGGACCCTTATGGATTCTCTGATTTGTGCATGATCTTGGAGGCCCCACTTACACTGGCTGCTACCCCCACACTGCTGGGCACCCATGGCGCAAAGGTTTCTCACCATCTGCCACCTGCAGCCCTCGGTCTTGCCCTTGACACTGCAGGGAGGGACGGAACCCTGGGCTGTGAGTACTCTTCAGGGGGAGGAGGACCCAGCAGCAGTGTTCCCCCAGCTTCTCATCACGTCCGGCCTTGTCGCACACGCCCCTTAAGCTCATATCAACTCATCCCATGCAGAAAACAAGTTGCTAAGGAAAGAGATTTATTGCTATTTAAAAAAACAAACAAGCAAAAAAAAAAAAAAAAAAAAAAAAACAACCTGAACCCTTTTGTATTTCTTTTTTTTGGTACAAGTACACAATTGAGTAGAAATTTTGGAAAATAGAAGAAATAGCTTTAAAAATAATCATGTATAATCTCCTAAGCCAGAGAAAACAACTGGGAACCTTTCAGGGCTCTTCCGTTTTCTTCCAGAGCATTAGTTAGTTTCTACATGACGTTAAGAGTATTGTATTGCATCTATTGGTTAATAATATCCTTGTTTTTGAGACAGAGTCTCACTCCGTCACCAGGCACCAGGCTGGAGTGCAATGGCATGACCTCGGCTCACCGCAACCTCTGTCTCCCGGATTCAAGCAATTCTCCTGCCTCAGCCTTCTGAGTAGCTGGGATTACAGGCACGCACCACCATGCCCAGCTAACGTTTTGTATTTTTAGTAGAGACGGGGTTTCACCATGTTGGCCAGGATGGTCTCGATCTCTTGACCTCATGATCCGCCTGCCTCAGTCTCCCAAAGTGCTGGGATTACAGGCGTGAGCCACCGCGCCCGGCCATAATATCCTTTTATATTTTAGAATATCCTAGACTTTTTACAATTTATTAAACACTCTCTGTGACATTGTTTTAGTGGCTTCTAAGTACCTCTGTGGGAGGAGAACTCTATCACTCTCCATTTCTTTCCTTTTAAAATTTCCTTTCATGGGATGCATTGCTGTCTACCATTTTATGATGTATTTAATGATATATTGTCTGTATCCTTAGCTAAAATAGAAGCTTCACCAGGCTAGGGTCTTCGCCCTTTTTCCCGCTGCTGCATTAAAAGAACACAGAATAATAAGTGACCCATGGCAGACAGTCCACAGGTATTTGCTGGATACACGAGTGGCTTTAACCAGTCATCCTCTGATGACTCTTGAAGAGACTGCACTAAACTACATTGTATGTCAGTCTTTTTGCTCTTACGGCAAATCTTCAATGAGACCTTTCCAGGTCGAAAAGTATGCATGTAGCTGGCTTTTAATAAAAATCAACCAGGTATCCTCCAGAAATTCTTCTCTAGCTTATATTCTTACCAACATACAAGAGAACTCTATTTTTTCACTTATTCCAAAATTTTCATTAGCATTTATTAGTATTTTCATTTCTACCAATTTGATAGGTACAAACAATAGATAACTTTTATCTTAATTTGAATGATAATTTTAACAAATTACAATATTTTCACATATTTATTATCACTTATATTTTCCTTGCCAGTGTTATTTTGTTTTTTAGATCTCTTTATATTTTAAGCATGTCGACCTGTCACATGTAGCAAATATTTTTCATTTGCCGCTTCTTATTGAACGTGGATATAGTGTTTTCACACATAAAGTATTACTCTTGTGTATCGCCAGACACGTTCATGTCTTTATGACTTCTGGTATTTTCCATCAGAGCCCAGCTGTAATAGCAGGATCTCTTTCTAAGAGAGAGCTCCTTCCTGAATGTAGGCTCCTCAGCATCCCTGCTGGAGACGGGAAGGAGCCTACATCTCTCAGAGTGGATTAAGGTTCCGCCTCGTAGCAGAGACAAGACGTACGGCCTTTTGTAAGTGCACATTGCGATGGGCACCTCACGCGGGCTGTGCGTTGGGATCCAACCAGCAGTTAAATATTAGAGAGGGAGCGACTGCAGAGCAGGAAAGGCTATTCTGTCCTGCACACCTGTCCTCTTAAAATTTATCTGAATCCTGCATTCCTGATGTTTTACCATCTGTCGACCTGCCTTCCCTCCCTGGAAATAAGTCAGGGGCTTGAATGAATGCTTTGCTACATTTGCCTTATGTCTTCATTTATTCCATGTGTTCGTTACCGTCAATGTGCAGCCACTCCTGCCCAGACCTATCCACTTCCATCACGACGCTTTCTGTTTTATTTCTTTGCTTTGGTCCACAAAACATGTTTTATTGTCCTTATTAATCCCTCTACCGATATCACCTCAAACTGTATTATTTTTCAGGAAAATTAGAGCAATTTTTAAGAGCCTCATTATTTTATGCAGGTGAAATAAAAAGAGATATCTTCCAATGGACCGTGTCTTCGCCAAATTTATATCTTAGCCAAGTCTCACTCTGACAAGACTTGGAGATTCTCAAAACTCTGAACTTGTGATTTGACTCGGTAGGAAACGGAACTGCGGGAGAGAACACGGAAAGGCCGTAAAGGCAGAGGACGCCGGAGGGTCCTGAATAAGGACGGGCTGTCAAGAGCTGAGGTTGAGATCACTGGCTCTCACGCTTCCGTGTACAGGGTAAGTCCCATTAACTCTGATGGGACATCGCTCACGGACATCAAACGCGAGACCTTTCTGTGTGACTTGCTGAGCTTCTCACAGAGGGGAGAAGTGCAGCTCCCTGCTTCCTGTTAGCCGTTCGCTTCTCACCTGCCCCTTTTAGGGTTTCTCCAAAGCTGCCTTCAGCATCTTGGAGTCTTTTATTTAAACCGAATGGCCCGATGCCCTGATTGAAGATGAGGCAGCAAGTGCCGGCTGAGCTGAGAAGCGTGTGCAGGTGGGCTTCGTGGCACCGAGGCTCTGCTGGTGGTTCTCTGCTTCAGCAGACAAAGACGTGAGTTTTCTAACTTGGTATCAGAGGAAAGCAGCATCGTCCATGCAGTCAGGAGATGGGAATTAATGATCAGGGAGCCCACAGCCTAACTGTCTCTAAAATTTAAGTTATGAACTGTCATTGAATTATCTTGCTTCGTTTGTTTTTTTAAACTGCTTTTGGAATGAGTCAAGGCTGCTGGTTTATCACTCCAATGAGCAATGCTGGGCTAAGGTCATAACTTCACCAGCATCATTGGTATTTATTGGACAACAGTGAGGCATTTGTCTGTAGACGCTAACACCAGGTGTGCAGTCTATTCGGGGCAGCAGTGTAAAGGTAGGTAGGCACTTTGCAGTGGAAGCTAAGGGTCAGCTTGTGAAGGACAGTGAGTTACAATTTGGCAAAGTCCGTGGTGTCCTGAGCATGTGGGGTGAGAAGCTGGCTCTGCTTGGCTTGTATCCAGAGGGCAGGGCAGACAGGCCACAGACCTGGGCTCCCTGGCTTGTATCCGTGGCCCTGTGGAGAACTGCGTGTCTTGTACTCTGAACAGAAGGCTGTACATATGCGTACACACAGTATAAATGCACACACACGTGCCCACACAAATATACACCCAAACATACACATGTGCATACACAGCACATAAAACATGCGTGCAGCATACACATGCACACACACAGCATACACAAACACACATACAGCACACACATATAGCATACACACAATCACATAGAGTGCACACACACTCTACACACATCTAGTGTGTAGGCACACACATTAGCACACAAACATATATATGGCATAAATTCACACAGCATACAAACACACAGGTTACACACACACAAGCACGTGTGCAACATACACAAGCATACACCTCATGCACATATGCATATGCTCACAATTGTGCATGCATGTATATTACGTAGGCACACACAGGCACACATACAGCATACACACACAAACACACACATAGCACATATAACATGTACACATGGCATACACACAATTATATATGTAACACACACATGCACACAGGCAAACACTCACATAACATAAAAGAACTTTCACAAGCAAAGCATGCCCCCATAAGCACAAATGCAAATGTAGTATACAAACACACACAGAACACAAAACATGCACATACACAGTATACACACACAAACACACATGTAGCATACGCACAACATGCACACACGTAGTATGTATGTATACATGCAAATGCACATACAGCATACACACACACACACACAAAGTGTGTATACTTTATAGTCTGCTTTTATTTAAGAATCAGAATTCAGCTAAAGGGATGAAGGCATCAGTTCTGAATTCCCTCCAGGGACTGTAAAGATTGTTTTTCTTCCCAGCTGCCTCCCTGTTCTTTCACCTCATGACTCTCCTAACTGGCCCCACCCTCCAACCAGGTCTGCGTTGCCCACTCCTGTTTGCCCGGCGTGGGGCACTTTTCCCTCCCTGCTATTCTCTGTGTCTGCGTCTTTGTCTTTCTCAGGCCCCAGGGCACCTGCAAATTTTTGCACCTGCCTCATTTCCCATAGAGGTCTGTGCAGGAAATCACATCTAGACAGCAATAAAATGACCAGAATATCGGCACAGGCTAATTCTTCCTAACAGCAAGAAAACACAAGCAGCAGATTAAGGATCTGATGAAGACATGCAAAACCTGTAACACACAGGTACCCGAGGAGCCACTGAGAACCTGTCCTGTGCAAGCACCATGCTGGGCACTGTCCGAGACGTGGGCAGAGCTGCCTGCTGCTTGCACCTGATGGAGGTCTGGGCTAAGGGCCCTTTCTCCTGCAGGCCACGGGCAGCCCTGGGGAACTTCAGGAGGGTGTGGCGGGGTCTGCAGTGCAGCTCAGGTACGTTACCCCAGGACTGTGTTGCAAAGGTTTTCAGGACCTGGGAAGCTGCCTGACCCCTCAGAGATGCAGGGAGCCCAGGAAAGGCTGGCTGAGGCCCTGGAGAGGCATGGGGTTCACCTCTTGGGACCCAGGCTGTGTCATGCCCCGGACTCCCGGGAGCCTCCCCTTGGCGTTGGGATTTTAAAAACTCCAATAGGAGCCTCATCTTTCCCCAAACAACCTATTAATAAAAAGTAAGTGTGCACGTGTTGTCCAAGTAGGAATGACATTCCTCTGATGGCTGCGTGGGCCCTGCCTAACTGCGGAAACGTCTCATCAGGGAGAGCGCCCAAGCCTGAGCAACAGGAACAGCTCCTAGGGGAGGAGCCCCCAGCTTGGGACAGAGGCTCTGAGGATTCCAGGCCCTGCCGCTGACATCCTGAGTCTGAGGAGGAGACAGGCAGGGGGTGAATGTACCCACGAGGCTCGAAACCCTCCTGTGCGCTGGACCCTGGGCTGGGTTTCATGGATGCAGCAGTGAGCAAGTCAGACGTGGCCTCGGACTGCTGCCCTGAGGGTGCGACCAAGTCCCACTTCTACACAAGTAATTAAGCGCAGTTATAACTAGCACCAAGGTGAACAGGTGACAAAAGCCTCTTGGAGACATCCGAGCTGAGTGTCAAGGTGAACCTGATTAGTTGGGCCAAACGCAGGCTGGGGAAGTTGCTCATAAGCAGAGAAGGGTGTTGGGGGAGGGCAGAGTGTTTCAGGGAGTCCGGGGGACTCAGGCGGCCACGGGATGTGTGTTGGATACCCTGGGGTGCTGGGCTGCATAGGTATCAAAAACATCACCATCAGCACCCACAGATGGGTCTGGGGTAACAGGGAGACTTCCACTCAGAGAGGTTGCGTGTGTAATCAGGCTTCTGTGGGAAACGTTTCTGGGCCCACCTTGGGTGAAAGTGTGGAGCCTGTGCAGACACTGGGGCAGAACCTGGGAGGCCACAGGGAGATGTTAGGTCAGCGTCCACGGGGTGCAGAGGCAGAGGCAGAGACAGGAAGTGTGTGAGGGTGAAACCAGCAGGACTGGGTGCTAAGAGGCATGTGAGGGGATGGGAGAGGAAATCCAGGCTGCTCTGGAGTTTGGAGAGGCCGCATCTGGGAGATAGGCATGGCTGGGAACCCCAGAGGAACTTGAGCTTCGGGTTCTGACGAGGTGCCTAAGAGTAACTCGGTGGGTAGATGTGTCTCTGTCTGCACATGCTGTGTGGGCCGTGACAGCCATGAGCTGGGATAAGGCTTTCCTGGGAGTGAGAGGTGAAGGACAGCAGTGGAGCCTGGGAACGTCACTAACCGTGAGGCAGGAGGACACAGGGCTGCAGAGGAGATGCCGGGCGGTGGCTGCGGAGGCAGGATGCTCAGGAAGGAGGCTGCCTGGAAACCAAACGAGGCAGTGGGAACCAAGGACGCGTGCAGCCCGAGTGCGGATCCACGTCGTCGGATTCTGGGCGTCGGGACAGAGAGGTCTCTCAGCAGCTCTGCCAACCTCAGCAGCCCGTGGGGACTGGATCCCAGCTGCAGAAGGTACGCTCTCCATCCCTTCAGCAGGAGAGGGGCACATGGGACGCAGATGACCAGATGGCCAGTGCATTCCCCATCCGTTCAACAGGAGCAGGACGTATGGGATTCAGATAACAAGAGGGTTGGCGCACTCTCCATCCCTTCAACAGGAGCAGGGGACACAAATTTCTAGAAGGAGGTGAGGGAATGCAAACCAACAGATGAACACTCTTGGGTATATATAGAGAGAAATTATTAGAATCATGTTTTCTTGTGTTTCATCCTAGTGATTTGCTAATTCTATTCATAATAACACATAAGAAAGAGGAGTTTTTCTTCTTTTATTTTTTCTTCTTTGAGACAGAGTCTCACTCTGTAGCCCAGGCTGGTGTGCACTGATGTGATCTTGGCCACTGTAACCTCTGCCTACTGAGTTCAAGTGACTGTCCTGCCTCAACTTCCCCAGTAGCTGGGACCACAGTCACCTGCCACCACCCCAGGCTAATTCTTTCATTTTTAGTAGAGACGGGGTTCACCATGTTGACCTGGCTGGTCTTAAACTTCTGACCTCAAGTGATCGACCTGCCTTGGCCTCCCAAAGTACTGGGATTGTAGGCATGAGACACCACGCCCAGCCAGAAAGGAGTTTTTCATGCATTCTAGCTGTTGTCTGAGTCTCTGAATAACCTAGATAAGTTTTCACTTTTGGGCAAGAGTTCACTTACTCCGTACATTCATTTTTTCACAGCTGTGCAGTGGGTACTGGCTGGGCACAGTGGTGGGTATCTCCTGGTCAGCCACAAAGACATGGCACCTTCCTTCCTGTGTGTCACTGTCTGTGAGTGGAGAAGGACAGGGATTTTCCCCCCAGTATTAGTTTATCCCTTCCTGATTGTAAAATTTCAAATTCTTAGTGAGTAAAAGGATAAGAATATACTCCCTCATTTCCTCTGGGGACAAGAGTGGCCATGAGTGTGGGCTCTGATCCCAAAGGCGTGAGCAGAAGAGTGGGGCGAAAATTCCAGCAGGTGCCTTTATAAAGGAGAAGGCATCTCTGTTACAGGGAGGAAGCCACTTCCTGCTGGCTGGAATAGGAATTCGAGGGCAGGAGCTCAAGCAGCCTTCTCAGAGCAGGGTCGTGTCATGTGTGGGGATGGCTGAGGAGCAGAACTGAGGAAACCAGGGTCCCTGATGTTTGTGGAGCCGTCACACCAGCCCCAGACCACTTATCTCTGAACTTATTTTATTTGAGGTAAAAATGAACCTCTGTCTGATTTAAGACCCAGTTGTTTTCAGCGTTCTGATACTCACACCGCTGGAATTATCCCAAATAATGGGAGTAGACAGAAAATAATCATATAAACAAGTAAGTGTGTTGTTGAAATAAGTGACCTGGTGGCAATGAACATCAGGCAGTCACGTGGACATGATGGACAGGAGGGAGGGCATCCCTCAGAGAAGCTTGTCGGGGAAGACTGTGAAGATGAGATCTTAGAAAGGAGTGAACACTACAAGGACGGAAGGCAGAGAATTCCAGGCAGAGGGGCTGGCTCCTTCCCTGCGACTGCTCGAGTCACGGCATGGATTACAGCTGTCAGG